GATAGATAGATAGATAGATAGATAGATAGATAGATAGATAGATAGATAGATAGATTGATTGATTGATTGATTGATAGATAGATAGATAGATCAGAGGAAGGCACACAGACAGAGACAGCGTGTCATTGTCTATCCCCCAGGTACTCACATGGAGTGTGAAACTTCGCTCCCGATTCCAATATGGCTTCACACCATCCAGTGCGTCACGGCCTCGTGCGACACGCCCCCTTCTGTGGACCACGCCTCCGTGAACTACACCAGCACCGCGTACAACGCGAGAGCCACGTTCACGTGCGAGCCTGGGTTTACGCTCGCTACACACTCTGGCGAAACCACCATCGTCTGCAGGAGCGATGGACAGTGGGAAACGGCGAACGTTGAGTGTGTCTTCGATAAATGTCCGCCCCCACCTGTAGTTCAGAGCGCTGAATACTTCCCAGAACTCTCAGAGTACGATTTAAATGCACAAGTGGCTTATCGCTGCTCTCGGGGATATGTCATGAGTGTCTCAGAGTACGTCAATAAGTGTGGCCCTGAAGGCTGGAACATAACCACACCTACTTTCGAATGCTTATCTTTGGCATGCGGCACACCAAAAGACGTGGAAAACGCTCGATGGACCATAGAAGAGATAGACTTCCCAGAAGTTCATTACGAGTGCTTGGAAGGTTTTCAGCTTGACGACTCCGTAGCTTCGAGCAGGGCATGTTTCCGAAAGGAGTGGTCCAAGGAAGCAGTGGCGTGTGTCCCACTCAACTGCGGCGACCCGCCGACCGTATCCAACACCACGATGAGCGTTGCTGGGACAACACTGGGAAGCGTGGTACAATATACCTGTGACGCTGGCCTTGTCATGACGTCCGCGCAAAACAATAGGTAACAGAAATGTCTTACATTAATTTTGTTCCCTCCACCGCGTCTGAAATTTGAACGTTTTTTGTGTTGTGTTCCCTTCGCCCCGTCTTAAATCTGAACGTTTTGTTGTTGTTGTTGTTGTTGTTGTTGTTGTTTTTTCCCTCCTCCCCGTCTTAAATTTGAACGTTTTTATTTCCTCTGCCAATGGTACGACTTTCGTGAAATCTACGCAGGGAACATACAATAGGTAATATCACAACATAGATTTGCGTTGTAATATCGAAGACTGTACAATCACTTAATTCCAGTTCACCATGGAGCGCACCATTTAATTCTATTTGTAACTTAACTATGGACAAAGATGGAGCGCACCATTTAATTCTATTTGTAACTTAACTATGGACGAAGAGGGAAGGGTTGCGCACAAACAGAACTATAGAGAGACTGGTGTTTTTTCCCCTTCATTAGCACGCCAACGGTACGCACCCAGCGTAGTGAAGTTTTTATAGAGAGCATAGAGTAGCGGCCATGACAGTGTGTGTCCAGTCTAGGATATTGAAATTCAAGTCAGTGCGAGTCTATGCGAGACTATGCGAGTCTATGCAAGTCTATTCGAGTCTATGCGAGTCTAATCGAGTCTACACGAGTCTATGTGAGTCTGTAAGAGTCTATACGAGTCTATGTGAGTCTATGCGAGTCAATGCGAGTCTGTAAGAGTCTATACGAGTCTATGTGAGTCTATGCGAGTCTATGCGAGTCTATGTGAGTATGTGTGAGCCTATGCAAGTCAATATGAGTCTATGCGAGTTTATGCGAGCCTACGCGAGTCTACACGAGTCTATGTGAGTCTATGTGAGTCTATGTGAGTCTATGTGAGTCTATGCGAGTCCGAGTCTATGTGAGTCTATGTGAGTCTATGTGAGTCTATGAGAGTCTATGTGAGTCTATGTGAGTCTATGCGAGCCTATGCGAGTTTATGTGAATCAGTGTGAGTCTATAGCTTTGTCTTAGAGCGTGAAAATGATAACTCTTTACTTGTTACTAATGCGCCTCTTTTTAGTTTACCAACAGAACCTTTACTTTCCGAATACATATAAACATTCTCCTAAAGCGACTTAAAATAGTGACTTCTCCATCAACATGAACGTGGGTTGTAAAAGAAGGGGGGGGGAGGGGCACTATCATTTTTCCAACTGAATTCTTCATGTGACGTTTAAAATTCCTCCCCTCTGAGCCTAAAATCAGTTTTTTTCTAATCCAACAATCACTACATAAACCATTTGCTTCATTCGCAGAACGTGCATGGACGATGGAGATTGGTCTACAGAGGTTATCGAATGTCAGCTGAAGGACTGTGGGGCACCGCCTGATCTGAATAACACAGTAAAATCTTTCCACTTGACAACATTCGGTTCACGCGTCCAATACAATTGCGATTCAAATAATGACATTTACATGCTTGTCGCTGGCAATGACTCGAAGGTCTGCAATGAGCAAGGGCAGTGGGAAGGCGATGATGCGGTTTGTGAAAATATAGATTGTGGAACACCTCCAAGCGTTGATTTTGCTGAAGTCAAGTATGATTACATGAACACAACCGTAGGTGCTGTTGCCGTGTATGAATGTCTGTCTGGTTACCGACATGTCGAAGGAGAAGACACGATCAGATGTCTGCGAGGACCACAGTGGGAATCTGTTGCTAATTTCACGTGTGCACACGTCGACTGCGGCTCTCCACCCGATGTAGAGTTCGCACGTTACAATACTTCCCTTGGCACGAGATTCGACAGCATTGCTACCTACGAATGCTTGTCCGGTTATCGTTTGGTAAATGAGACAGCTTTGGAAAAGCGCTGTGGAGAGGGTGGAGAATGGGAAGGTCCTCTGACAGAATGCATTGGCATAACGAGCTTGTCTTGTTCAGAGCCGCGTAGTGTTGAGAACGCACGCGTTGAGTGGATATCCCAGAAATCTGGAGCTATGGCTACCTACATCTGCAACAATGGCTTTGAGCACTGGTACTTCGATAGGCGGGTGTGCACAAGCCTAGGAGTTTGGAGTAACGAAACAGTGATGTGCAACCCGGTCACGTGCGGGCCTCCTCCGCTAGTGATTAACGCGGAAGTGGCATACCCCTCGATAACATTTGAAAGTGTAGCTGTGTACACATGTGAACTAGGAAGACATCACATTAATTCTCAGAACAAGACTTGCATGGCAGATGGCCAGTGGTCAAGCGACCATGTCGAGTGTTTGTTACCTGTCCAAAGTTCGTGCGGCCCGCCACCGGTGAAGGAAAAGTACACCGTTTTTTCAACTTCATGGGCCGGCCAAGCCTTTTACGAGTGTGCGCCTGGGTACTCAGGGAATCCAACTTTTGCGCCATGTGTGATGGGGCAGTGGAAAGGTTGGTGGGACACTTGTGATAGCGTGATCTGCAATAACATGCCGGTTGTCATAAACGCATATTTGCTTGGGAGGATACTTCCTACGTTTGGTACAATAGCAAACTATGCTTGTTTGAACAACCATGTGCCCACTGGTCAACTCAACAGAGTCTGCCAGAGCACTGGAGCTTGGTCGGATGAGGTGATCGAGTGCGTACCAGCCGGTTTCAACTTCTGTGCGGACCCCCCAGTGTACCCGAACGCGATCGTGCATTATTCTTCCAGGCTGGAAAATGCAAATGCCGTGTACGAATGTGACCAAGGATTCATGGGTAGAGGGGAATCCGTGTGTATGACGAATGGGTCGTGGTCAGACCCGCGGCTCACATGCCAACCAGTGGACTGCGGACCTCCGGCTCCTTCTCGCAACTCTAAGGTATCAGCAAGTCAAACCACCCTCGGGTTCTCTGCCATTTACGAATGCACAAATCTGCAGCTAGCATCTCCAGCTAAACCAATAAGAAGCGTTTGTACAGCCTCTGGTCAATGGTCTGACGTTGACACAACAGAAGGATGCAAGGTGTATTGTCAATTAGACCCTGGGATGGTTACAAATGCCATCAGATCGGCCTTTAACCGCAGTGTAGGTGCAGTTGTGAACTACACTTGTGAAGCAGGTTTCGCCCCTTTCCCTGACCCCATGCTGTACCGGATCTGCCTCAGCACTGGACAGTGGTCAAGGGGTGACTTAACCTGTAGCAACACAGACTGCTCTTCGCCGGTTGAGATGGCTAATGCCACAGTGTCTATAGGAGGAACTGTTCCGGGATGTAAGTAATTCGGGATTTTAAAATCTGTTCTTTTGTATATATTATAAAATGGTGGTTTTAGGAAGAAGGGGGGGGGAGGCTGATATTTTACGGATTATTTAAGAAGCTTTTATATCTTTATTTCCTTTGCCATATGCACACTTCCCATTCTTTGGCTAATCTCATGTATAATATGTATCATCATTATCCTTCGCTCAAAAAGTATATCATCATCATCATCATCATCATCATCATCATCATCATCATCATCATCATCATTATAGTTATTCTTCGCTCAAAAAATAAAAAGTTTTTATTTGCCGAAAGATCCGTCTATAACTATAATATAATTGTGGAGAAATCGTTCGAAGTAAAAATTAATTATGCTCACAATTACACAATGATGATGATGATGATGATGATGATGATGATGATGATGATGATGATGATGAT